CAGGCCGATGGACGCCTGTCTGAGCCACTCCTCTCTGGTTAATTTTAGCTTCAGGAAAAAGCCCCTCCTAGAATGTCAGCGGGGCCGACCGTGCATGTTTAGTGGCTGAATTGAACAGATGGGGACTCGGAAACTAGGGGGGCCCTTCCGGGGGGGAGTCTGCTCAGGGGAGTGTGAGTTGTCCCTCAGGATGAGAAGGAGCCCGGATGAGCAGCGGGACCTCCCAGGCAGAGGGGACAGGACTGCGGAGGCGCTGAGGGTTATTTAAGTTAGAGCAGGCCCAGAACTTAAAACAGGTGAGGAAGGGGAAACCGAGTCAGGTAAGGGCAGAGAAGTGGGCTGGAGCCAAACCCCAAACCCCTGGGGGCTCGCAGACACCAGATGAGGACTTTGAATGGATTGAGCTGGTGCTGGGGGCACAGCAGGGCTCTGGGCAGCCTCGGGCAGGGTTGATCAGGTCTAGTTCCATCCCAGAGTGGGGGTGCCGTGTGCACCTGGCACCTCCCCTGGGACAAGGTCGGGCTCCCTGTTCCTGCTCCGTGTAAGCTCTGCTCTAGAACCCTACTCCCAGGTTGACGCCACTGGCACAAGAGGTCAGAATCACAGTGTGGCCTGTTTGGGGAACACACCAGCATTTATGACACAGTTCCCATAAAAAATCTATCCTGAGTTCTGAACAACCAGCTTCCATTGGAGCTGCCGGGTCACTATGTGGTCGTGATTTGGCAGATTTTCCACAAGACATCGCTTCACACCCGCTAGAGCAGCTAATGTCAGGAAACTTCTGGACAGTGAGAGGCAGGCAAGGACATGGAGACAGGGGAACCTTCCACATGGCTGGTGGGATGCAGACGGGGCAGCTTCTTGGCAAAACGGTCTGGCGGTTCCTCCGAATGTTCAACGTGGAGTGACAGTCTGGCCCAGCAATTCCGCCCCTTGCTATGCTCCCAGGAAAACTGAAAATGAACATTCAAGGCAGCGTGATCACGACAGACGCTGAGGCAACCTGCTGGGCCTGCTCAGCTCTCCTCTGGGTGGGCTCCCTTCCCAGGCCTCTGTGGTTCTCACACAGCCCCTGCTCACAAGCTCGCCAAAGCCCCCCAGAAAGAACAGCCTTTTCCCAACAGCTCCAATAAATGTCAGGCACACCTGTCACCCTCCCAACCATCATCAGTACCCTCTGACTTGAGACAATCATCTGTGAAGGGAAAAAATACATGTAAGAAGTAGATACAATGCTCTGTTTAATAAACACATTCAAAATGACTTTTCTGCACAGATCCCCCCCCCCCC